GGGTGAGGTTCTGTGGCCTGCAATGTGCAGGAGGTCAGACTAGATGATCACGATGGTCCCTTCTGGCCTTAAAGTCAATAAGCCTGAGAGATAAGATAGATATATTCACGTTGACAGGGCCTGTTGAAATTCACCCTAGGGTTCTTAAGGAACTAGCTGAAGTAATCTCAGAACGGTCAATGATTATCTCTGAGAAGTCATGTAGGAGGGGTGAAGTCCCAGAGGACTGGAGAAGGGCAAACATAGTACCTCTCTTTAAAAAGGGAAGCAAAAGTAGAATTACAGGGAATTATATACCAGTCAGCCTAACTTCAATATCTAGAAAAATACTGGAACAAATTACTAAACCATCAGTTTGGACAAGCACCTACAGTAGGGTAATAAGTAATAGCAAATAAGGAATTGTCAAGAACAAATCACGCCAAACCAAACTAATTTTCTTCTTTGACATGGTAACTGCCCTAGGGAATGGGGGCGGGGGTGCTGCACACTTGATATACCTTGATTTTAGTAAGGCTTTTTACACCATCCCACATGACATTCGCATAAGCAAATTAGGGAAATGTGGTCTTGTAGAAGAAATCAAATCCTCTCTGTCAAGGTTCCTCCCCCACTCTGAACTCTAGGGTACAGATGTGCGGACCTGCATGAAAACCTCCGAAGCTTACTTTTACCAGCTTAGGTTAAAACTTCCCCAAGGTACAAATTAATTTTATCCTTTGTCCTTGGAATATCCACTGCCACCACCAAACTCTAACTGGGTTTACTGGGAAACATAGTTTGGACACATCTTACCCCCCTAAAATCCTCCCAACCCTTGCACCCCACTTCCTGGGGTAAAAATCCTCACCAATTTGCATAGGTGACCACAGACCCAAACCCTGGGATCCGAGAACAATGAAAAAGCATTCAGTTTTCTTACAAAAAGAATTTTAATAGAAATAGAAGTACATAGAAGTAAAGGAATCACCCCTGTAAAATCAGGATGGTAGATACCTTACAGGGTAATTAGATTCAAAACATAGAGAATCCCTCTAGGCAAAACCTTAAGTTACAAAAAAGACACACAGACAGAAATAGTCATTCTATTCAGCACAGTTCTTTTCTCAGCCATTTAAAGAAATCATAGTCTAACACATACCTAGCTAGATTACTTACGAAAGTTCTAAGACTCCATTCCTGGTCTATCCCCAGCAAAAGCAGCATACAGACAGACACAGACCCTTTGTTTCTCTCCCTCCTCCCAGCTTTTGAAAGTATCTTGTCTCCTCATTGGTCATTCTGGTCAGGTGCCAGTGAGGTTACCTTTAGCTTCTTAACCCTTTACAGGTGAGAGGATTTTTCCTCTGGCCAGGAGGGATTTTAAAGGGGTTTACCCTTCCCTTTATATTTATGACACTCTCTCTCTGTATGGATGCAGTAAGTCAGAGACAATTTTTATTTCAAGCAATTGCAAGGGGAGACTGCAAGGCAGGAGTTACCCTAACCTTAGACAAGTCTCCGAACAACAAGCAGTTTATCACAAATATTTATAGTTTTTGTTACATGCATTGACGAATAGCAATTGCACTTTGTTCATACATTTTCCTTCCTGATATATTAATTATTAATGATTTTCTGCTACCACTACATTCTATGTGCACACCCGGTTGAAAGACCATATCCAAAAAGCAGGTATCAGTGGTTCACTGTCAAACTGGAGGGACGTTATCTAGAGGGATTCCACAGGTGTCTGTCTTGGGTTCAGTACTATTAGTTACTATCATTAATGACTTGGAAAATGGAGTGGTGAGTACACTTATAAAATCTGCAGATGACACCAAACAGAGGGATTGCTAGTGCTTGGAGGACAAGATTCAAAATAACCTCGACAAATTAGAGAACTGAAATCATCTACATGAAATTCAACAAAAATAATGCAAAGTACTGCAATTAGAAAGAAAAAAAAATCAAATGCACAACTACAAAATGGGGAATAACTGACTAAGGACTGAAAAGGATCCAGGGGTTACAGTGGGTCACAAATTGAATATGAGTCAATGAAGTGATGTAGTTATGAAAAGGACTAACATCACTCTGGGGTGTATGGACAAGAGTTCATACGTAAGATATGAGAGAGATAGCTGTCCTGCTGTAATCTGCACTGGGGAGGCCTCAGACGGACGGTGTCCAGTTCTTGATGCCACACTTCATGAAAGACATGGACAAACTGGAGAAAGTTCATAGGACAACAATAAAAAATGACAAAAAGTTCAGAAAACCTAACCTATGAGGAAAGATTAAAAAGAACTGGACATGTTTAGTCCTGACAAAAGATGACTGAGGGGGGAACTGATAATACTCTTCAAATATGTTAAAGGCTGTTAGAAGAGAACAGTGATCAATTGTTCTTGTCCGCTAAGGTAGAACAAGTAGTAATCAGCTTAATCTGTAGCAAGAAAAATTTATGTTAAATATTAGGAAAAATTACTTAACTATACAGATAATTAAAGACTGAAATAGACTTCCAAGAGAGGTTGTGGAATCCCTGTCATTGAAGGTTTTTAAGAACAGGTTAGACAAACACCTTTCAGGGATGATCTAGGTATACTTGTCCCTGCCTCTGCCCAGTGGGGCTGGACTAGATGACTTCTCAAGGTCCCTTCCAGACCTGAATTTCTATGACATTATAGTTAACCACAGAACAAAGATAAAAGGTCAGGAATTTTTAAAATGGTATGCCATAGTAGCAGGTAATTTCTCCCTGAATTTCAAGACCAAAGCACCAGTTATCCATTAGTATGTACGCCAACAATACAGTGAGAGTTATTTAGTCTACAAACAACATATATCACAAACATTTTCAGGACACTCTACTTCAATTAAAAATAAGATAAAGTTTCTAAATTGCATATTTAAATGAAATATATTAAATATAATATATAATTTTGACCAGTAAATAATCAAATAGTGGGAACGTTCAAATATATTTTAATCCATAATTTGGAATGAGTGTTTGCAGGGGTACAGAATTCTTATGCCCCTTTTCCACTTAGATTTCCTGAAAAAATATGAAAGTTGTTAATTATGCATATTAATGTCTAATAAAACAAAGATATAAACATAAATCTAATTATTTACAGTCTTGCATAACTGGCATAAATAACTGGAGAATTAACTACCATTAATGTTGTCTACCTGGATTCATCATTGCAAATATCCGGTCCACACTACTGAAACATACATATTTTAAAATAATCTTCAAAACTCTAAATTCTTCCTGAGCATTGCCACTGCAAAACCTCCCTGTCAAGGTTACATAGCCACATGGCAGGGCATCTAGTTCCCAAAGTAACCACAATGTGAATCTTCAGGGGTAATTTATTTGGAAAAGAACAGTTATCTGGTTGTGCAGCGGGCCAAAGTAAGAGTCAGGGGAAATAAAAGTGAAATTAAGGAAATTTTTTAGTGCTGTTCCAAAATTTAATGTCAATATTTTTAAAAATTAACATTTCATATGGTGAATTTAAGCATGCATGCCTGTGCTTTCATATGAAAGTTCTGTCCACTCACTATAAAACATAATAATTACACAAGCACAATGAATCTGCACAGGTGAAAGTCATACATTTCTCTTTTTAAATGAATCCTTCCTGTATTATAAATGAGTCATTTGGTTACAGATGTGCAGGCAGTCATACCATAATGTGGTGATAACACCTTTATTTATGGAATTTAAGGCTCCATTGAAAGCAGTGAATAAATGATGAGCTTATTGGTGAAGACATTCACCAATTAACAAGCAGCAGCTGTTTGTTTCTCTTTTTTTAGGGCCCAATTGATTAAAATTGCATGCCTCATTTAAGCAGTATTTTCTTGTATTTTTCCTGGAGGAAAAAAAAAAGGCAGAACACCCTTTTTTTCAAACAGAGTAGTTGCTTTTCTGATTTATTAAACCACTATACAACTGAAAGCAAATTAGAAACGTAGAGACATAGTCTGTTTTCATGTGCACAGCCTATTTTATAAATGAGTTAATGGAAAATAGGTTAAGTGAGCATGAGCCACAAGTGGTACATGCTGTCTCTGTCACTCACAAATTTGGAAGACATCTTTCACTGATTAAAGTATTTTTGATATCACACTCACTGACATGTTTCTTTTCTAAACACAGGAAACAAGAGATAGATTATGTCATGAGTGTTTGCTGTCCCTTCTCCCATTAAACCGTCTTTCAAATCTCCAGATCTACTCTCCCCGTTTCAAACCACAATTCATACCATCTCTGCTCTTAAGGCCATCCCCTGTGACCATACCTCCTCCACACTGAACTTCAAACTCACCACTTGAGATACCTACTTATACCACCCTCTCTTAAACAGAACCCCAAGCCACCTATATCCTTCCATCCTTGAGTCAGCTCTCCCACACAAAACCCTCCTCCCTCCGATTCTTTCCCTTGTGCTACTCCCCAATGAGACAATCCAAACCACAGAGTCCCATGACCCACTCTCTCTGGCACAGAAAGATTCTCTAGCCTTTCTTGAAACATGTGGCTGACAGACTCAAACGTATTTTCTGTTCTTCCTCTTTAAGGGACAGACCTTTATTTCAGTTTGAGAATAAGCTTTGTTTCGAATTTAATTGAAGTGAGTAAAAAAAGAAATCACAGTAGCATTTGGTGGAACTAGTAACACTTCTGGCCTATTCTCTACTCCAACAGTTGGGGTCTGAATAACATGAAGAGAAAATTGAAATAGCCCACTATATTTTGTAAAATGACACTACTATTTTAGAAAATACAGAACTACTCAGCCTGTAGGTGACTCATAACCCATAATACTCTTAGAATAAGTAGTAAACATATGCAATATATTTATGTTTACAAAATATACATTTCAATTTTTGTGAATTCCTAATACAGTTTTCAATTCAACAGCTATTTTATATCAATTTTTAAAAAAATAGTAAGAAATTTTGTAATTTTTGTCACTTTATAATAAATTAAAGTCTATACTTACTAATAGTGGAGACAGAGACAGCTGGACTATAAGCACACTCCCCTGTAGGACTAGTGATCTTTAGTCGAAATCTGTAGGTTGTTCTCGGCTCAAGACCTTCCACGACATGTTGTCTAGCATATCCCCTAAAAAATTTCTTATATAATAATTCAGATAGTATTTTTCAAACATTTTGGCAAACAACATTTAAGCATAATGTCCTGATGCATAACTGCTCAAGCAAAAATGCACATACAATTTTACACCACTGCTCCCATGCTGATCTATCTACAGGATCTAGACCTTATGGCTGTGTCTACATAGGGAAAGTTTTTGCAGTATAAGCTAAGTTGTGAATTTAAACCAATAAAGTTATACTGATATAAATCCAGTGAGGACACACTTATTCCAGGATAAGAATGACTTTTTTCAGTTTATTTTATGTCACTTGGGAAAGGATTTAAGCTAAACTGAAAAAAAAACACTCTTATCCTGGACCAAAAGCATCCACACAGGGGATGACTACACCTATAGAACTATATCAATATAACTGGTTAAACTTTCCCATGTTGACAAAAGCCTAATTTATACACCCACTTAAGGTTAAGTGCGCATGTAAATTAGATATTTTCAGATGGAAACTGCTCATTAGAAGCATAAACAGCCATTTGCCTATACAAATGCCTAACCTGTGCACGCAGTTGCTGCAATTGTATCTGAAAATTAGGCACAGATCTGTGTGCATCTTTAAAAGCCAGGCACTGAATATATACAGTTTTGTCATCATTTATAGCTTAAATACATTTTGCAGCAGTAATACCCCAATGGAAAAAAACAGGTGTCTAATAAGTTTCTTTTACATAACAAATACAAAGTGAAAGTGCTAATTAACTATTCACAAGAATTCTAGAGAGTCTGCCCTTTGACACCTACTGCATCCAAGATGCAAAATTTCTACTTCTAAAAAATGCTATAATTATTAGAATTTTTTTCCCAAAACCCAGTGTCTTAAAAACATTTTAAATATGAAAGAAACTGCTTCAGCGGAGCATAAAAGGTCAGTATTAACACAGTCTAATTCTGCCACCTAGTGACAAATCTTACACTGCAAAGTTTTCTAAAGATTGGGAACTATATTATATGTCACTGAAGAATCTGGAGTCAGTGCAGCATGCCATACAACAGTGCAATGCAAGAGGCTTGAGTTAAGAAGTGACTAATCTTAAGAAGTTTAATCTCCTGGGGCTTTAGCGGAAGGCAAGTTGTACTGTGAAGAGCAGCACAAAACATCAGTCCTTGGACTGCTTTACAAACAAGCTGCTCATCTTACAGATCTTATGTTGGTGTCCATTGATATACAAATATGAGCAAAAGTGAAGGGATGGAGCAGATCCTACATCCTCTGCCCTCTAACCCTAACATCCCTAATCACTCTTAACATCATCTTAGCCCCTTACTCCTACAGAGGCAAGTTCTGCAGTTTGCTAACTAATCATTATTCAAGTTAGGTGCAATGTGGAAGGGAAATAAAGGGATTCAGTGCTCATTTTGTGGGAGTAGGGTATGAAGCCACTTTTGGGAGGTGGCTAGTGCCCCGCTCTCCCACATTTTGCCTATACAGACCATAACCCAAGGAAAGAAAAGAAAAAAGAGGTCATCCCTAATAATATTAAATATAGTCTCATGGGCATTGGCCATCTTCTCCCAGATGATTGCACCACTTCGGAGCTGTCAGCCAGCAGGTTGCACGGTAGGTTTAGTTTTATTTCAGCTATTAGTCAGCCAAGCAGAATCCACACCTCTCAAACACACACACAACGTGAAATTCTGGCCCCAGTGGAGCCAATGGAAGTTTTGCCACTGACTTCACGGGGGGCCAGGATTTCAACCATTGTCTCTGGACATCACCTAACATACTGACAGCCATATATAGCAGTTAAGGGGACAGTCACTAATTGTGACCAAGGGAAATGAATGGAAATTCATAGATTCATAGATACTAAGGTCAGAAGGGACCATTATGATCATCTAGTCTGACCTCCTGCACAACGCAGGCCACAGAATCTCACCCACCCACTTCTGCGAAAAAACCTCACCTATGTCTGAGCTATTGAAGTCCTCAAATCGTGGTTTAAAGACTTCAAGGAGTAGTGAATCCTCCAGCAATTTGTACCTGCCCTATACAAATTAACAGCCATGTAGGTGTTACTCAGTTGCTTCAGGTATGCACCCCTCATGATCAAAGCAAGGTGGAGTAGAGTAACAACATACCCTTTTTTTACAAAAAATTATACGTCATAAGTGGTATTACCTCAAAAATTGTGCTTATATTAAGTAATTTAATTCAAAAGAAATTATATTTTAAAAATTGAATGAAAAATGTAATAGTTTTCAGAACATAACAAAACCAACATTGCCACCATAATAAATATTTAGCATTTCTTCACCACTTTTCATCTTCAAAATGCTTTGCAACCCATAACTTATTAAGATAAAACTTCATTAACATTTCACCTACGTATAAATGGTACCATAGGTATGTAATTTGGGGTCCTCTTCTTCAATTGACATCTTTAGCCATTGCTCTTGAGGTCCTTTTCTTTGTGTTATATTTTCCAAATCCCAAGAGAGTTGAATGCTGTGATGGGTCACCTCACCTACAACTGGAGGATGTGGTTTTGGGATAGTACGTTTTCCTAAAAAATATTTCAAAATGTTATTTCTACAACATAGAATGTAAAAAGATCTTCATATGTGTGAAACTTCATTTCAGGTGTTCATTGATTAGTTTTGTTATTTCTATTTTGATTAAGATCTTGCATTTTTCAAATATTTTTGACATATATCCAATTTACCCAAGAGTACACACTCATGTATAGAGAAAAACACTCTTAAATTTTGCATCCCTTCATCTTGCAAGTAAGATCATATTTTAATTCATCACTTGACAGGGAAATAATACACAATTATTGTGCAAAGATTATTTTAGAAACATAATGCTGAGTTGGTGCAGTGGACATATGTGTAGTTTGAAGTGTGTACTGAACGTGTTTTAAGTACACTACAGTTTGTACATGAAAATAAACTCAAGAAGGAGAGTTCTCTACAACATCCAAGATGCCACAAGTTCTGGAACACATTTTAGGAAGCCTACAATGTTACAGTTTATCAATAGTGAAGTTTCCCAAGTCACAAAACAAAAAAGTCTAGGAATAAAAATATAATAATCAATAATTAGGCTAAGATTTCAGAAGTTACATACTTTTAGTTAACATTATGCTCATTTAAACTAATCAGTGAAAGTGCCCTTATAATTTGTTTCTGTTCCATTTTAAATGCCCGTCACATATATAGTCTAAGGAACATACTGATACTATTTCAAATTGTTTATTAAATGTTCAAGGGATGATGTCTCTCATTCTGTCTGGAGTGGCTCAAAACTGAGAGTGCCTATCTCAGGGCAGACGATCAGAAAACAGGGTAGACACCCCAAGCTGGTATGTTCTATAATTAGATGTCATCAAACCAGTAACAAATATGAATTCCTGGGTCACTATACCAGTTTTATCATGGAGTCACAGACTTAGACTCTACAGTCTATCTTGCCAAGCAAACTGAACTTTGTGATAAAAGTTTACTTAAACCAAAAATCAAACCACATCAGGCTGCTCCCAGTCTCAAGAGACCAATCACTTCCCCAGATCTTACATAAAAGACAACACTGGTAGCCAATTTTACAGTTAACTAACTGAAGGTTTATTAGCTAAGAAAAGGAAGTGAGAGTTATTTAGAGGTTAAAGCAGGTAAAATATATATATAAAAGGTGAGTCACAGTTTGAGATTCCAAATGGTGGCAGTGACATTATAACTGCCAGACTCCCAAAAATCTTTCAAGGCTACCCAGAATAACTCTGGGAATCTCTGTCTTCTTGTTCAGTTTTCCTGCCCTGTTAGAATACAAATCCATATTTCATATCCATATTTCGATTTCCTCGAATCCATATTTAAAGTTCCTTCTGACAGAACGCAAGCTGACAGTCTCTCTCCCCACATGGGCTTTTCCTTTGATGACAGTGAGTGAGGAAAGCACTTTGAGTCTCTGACCTTCAGTCATCACACACCATGGCCACTTACTTTGAAATTAGTCTTTTTGCTGTTAAAGTTCTTCATCTGCATTTCATAAGGCTTCTTTCTTGTCTGACAATTTATTCAGTTATAGGGATACTTGCAATGTAAATGTTTGCTATTACATTATAACATGACACACAAGCAAAACAATACATGAAAGATCCCATTAGTTTTCATGTAGTTTAAACACCAAATACATTCTTTTTATACATTTAACAATTACTTTGATCTATACTAATACACAAGTGAATTGACCTGATTACACTCTGGCATGACCTGGTCTACTAGCATCACAATGTCAATCATCTCTTCAGCACTATGAGTAAGCAACTGCTGAATAAACCAATACCAGTTTTTTCTCAAGTTTTGAGTTTTTCAGTTGTGTAAAGGTAGGTTCTTGTCCTGAAGAGAGACTAGCTGCAGCAAAAAGAGAGAGAGAGAGAGAGATGGGGGCTTGAGACTATTTTAGTCATACATCTGAACCTAGCCCAACTGTGGGAAGCAATGTATAACAAAGAACCAAAGGTACAAAAAAATTATTTATGCAGGAAACTTAAAATTATGTGGGATTCATTCCTTTACTGTAAATGAGTTTATCACCTGTTTCTTAATTATTTGGTTTTGATGAAGATAATTTCCAAAAATAAAGATGAGGGACACTAAATTTGTGCAGATCATAGGTGATCCTGGATCTAAAATGAATGACATCCCTTGAAATGTGGGATATTTAAGAGATAAGGACCTGGTACCCGAGACTAAAAATACAAAATAAAACTGGTTCAAGTCCTTGCCTCTGACCACCAGCAATCACTGCTCCAGCTGAGCAACCAGAGAGTTCCATTTTACTACTGTCATTGCCCTCCTCATTGCTTTCCATAAGCCGGAGACAGCTACAAACAGCAGCAGCTTCAGCTAGCCTCCACATTAACGGAGCTGTAATCGTATCACGTATCCCACAATGTGGAGAACGACAATGAGATTCCTCAGCGAAATGGGAGAAAAAGGGGAACAGTTAAACCCTGTGTGGAGGAGGAAAGAGGACAACAGGATTCGGAGACGGGAGGAGGGCGAAAAACAGGGAGAGAAGATGAACATTATACTGGGGATAGGCAAAGATAAAAGGGGACCCAGCAAAGGTGGCAGAGGGAGAGTGAAAAGAGGGAAAAACTATACTGAGGGATAATTTGGGAGAGGGAGAAGGTGATTAGCGCCCCCATAAAGTTGCCAAAATGAGAGAGCAAAGTTATTGGCTGCCCCAATCACACTAGATAGGATAGCAGGTTGCTAGGTTTTTCCCCAGTGAGTTAAGGCCTAAACGGGGAAAGGTGATTTTGTGGGAGATGATCACAAAATATTAGGGGGAATCTATGGATTCAGATTCACATTTTGGAATGTTTATTTCATCTCAGAACTTTTGAAGTTCTCCCAACAGTAGTTTTACATGTGCTATATGAATGTCAAAGTCTATAGTGCCAGCAGTATATCACTGTGATGAAACAACACACACTGAGGCAATATCAAAAGTCTACATACATTCAGTGTAAGATTTAGTGGATTTCTGCCTTGGTAGAAGAGCAGCTCTTTAAGAAAACTGTATTAGTTTTGAAGTTTTAAATGACAAAATATTTTTATTTTTAAAACCCGTATTCACCAGAATACGCACTTGACCCTCTAGTAGCTTAGGGACCAGCTATATGGAAATTGTTCCTAGCAAAAATATTAATATGCTGGCAATTATGAATGTGAAATGAACTCAACTTCAGCATGAGGTTTTCTTGGAATATTTTCAATACCACCATTATGAACAAATAGTTTCTCCATAACTAAGACTGCAAACAGGATTTCATTACAATAAGGTGATTTTCATATGCATTACTCTTAAAATTCAAGACTCTGTTATGTAGGGTAAGTCCCAGGCTGTAACAGTTTTTTCCACTAAATCTGAAGGAAATTCAGAGAGACACTTTTGGAGTTAAACAGCTAAAATGGATGTAGGGGATCGAGGGGTGCAGGAGGTTGGGGCTTTTCAGGGTGGAGGTTTTGACTGGAGCTCAGTGGGGGTGGTCTGGGTGCAACGGTGTGGGTCAGAAGACAGGGGGTCTGGGTGCAGGGGGCTCCAGATGCAGGGGTTGAGGTTCAATGGGCTGGGGTTCAGATATGGAGGGTCGAGGTGGGTTCTGGATGTACTGGGTGAGGCTTGGCGAGGGTGTCTGGGTACCGGAGGTCCAGATGCATGGGGCCTGGGCAGATGGGGGAGCAGCTCCCCATACAGTGACCCCTCCCCCACATATAAGAAGCGATGGGGGCAGGAAGCAGGGGAGGATGCTGAGCTGCCTGCAGCTGGGGGAGGTTTCTTGTGGTGGTTCTGACAGCCCCAGCCACTCCTTGCAGGGGAAATGGAAATCCCATCCTCTCCTGCCTCCAGCCCAGCCAGGACTGGCAGCTAATCCCAGGGTAGGAGCCACTGGCTGGGGGTGTCCTCAGCCCTGCAGTTATTTATCTCTCCATGGCTGCTCCAGGTGCCTGAAATGATGTACCTGTGCAACTAGGGAGTGGTGCGTGACTGCTCTTGCAGATTCCCTTTGCTTCCCTGTCAGAAAGTCATTTTTCTGCAGGGAAGCAAAGAAATCTGCAGGGGACATGAATTCTGCATGTAAATTATTGTGCATATAATACTTTATTTATAAAATAAAATGGAAAAAATTCTCACTCTTAGCCATTAATAAATGTACATCACAGAAGTCAATAGCAAAAAGTTTATAAAAAGCCTACACATTGATGATGTTCTCAGTGTCAAAATTCTTGTAGAAAATTATGTGTGAGGTCTTTTGACAAAAAAAAAAAGAGAGACAGTTACTTACCTGTACTGTAACTGTTGTTCTTCAAGATGTGGGTGCACACAAGTATTCCACTTAGGTGTGTGTGTTCCCAGCACACCAAAGTCAGAGAATTTTACCAAGCAGTACCCATACAGGCAGTGCATGTGCCAATACCTTGGCTATATAACGGTGGAGCTGTCCCCCACCCCCCCCCCAGTTCCTTTGCACCGAAATCCCCAGCTGGAGACTCTAATGCAAAGGGACAGAGGGTGGATCACAGAGTATATGTCTGTACCACATATAAAAGAACAGCAGTTACAATACAGGTAAGTAACAATCTTTTCTTAGAGTGGTTGCAGACATGCACTCCACTCAGGTGCACAAGCAGTTCCAGCAGGAGGTGGGCTTAGGTCTATTTGAACAGTGAGTGCAGGACTGCCTTCCCAAGGTTTGCATCCGATCTTCATGTTATGGTGACAGCATAATGTCTAGCACAGAGGACCACATTGCAGCCCTGCAGATATCTGCTATGGAGACATCACTAAGGTATGCAGCTGATGTTGCCTGAGCTCTCGTTCAATAAGCCTGCAATGACTGTGGAGGTATCAGCTGAGCCACTCCATAAGACATGGTAATAGAGGCGGTTATCCATTTGGAAATGGTCTGAACAGAGACAGGTTGTCCCTTCATCCACTCAGTGTAGGACTCAGAGTCAAGGTGACGAACAAAACAACTTGGTCCTTTCTAAA